AATAGTACGGTATTAGTGCCAACGTATTAATGTGCGGTTATTAGGCCATCATTTTCAGGTATGTCGAACAATATTCGACAAGGGTAATTAACCAATCAGATTGCGGAAAGCACTCTTGACTTGAACTATATGTCACTATGACTTGAACAATGATAAATGATAAGCTAGTGGGCACAGTCCCCCTCACGTTTATGTGCATTTGGGGGGATATGTTTCAAACCTTTACAGATAATCAAACTGCCACCCCGGGATATTAAATGCCGCAAATGGTCAATTCATGAGTAAACTGAGAGCCACCAGCTTCCTATTTCAGGTGGACAAATTGTTTGTCCTAGTTGGTGTTTAAGACATGCATAGTCATACACAATCCCCTTGAATACAATAAGTCGCCGTGACCGATACAACAACATGCCAGGTTTTCTGTGTTGTTTTACCTCGATATTTAATCAGGTCATGTAAAAATCTGTTTGTATTCTCAAAACAGTGTCGGCCCATACGTTTTCACATGCAATACAGCAATTAATACTCCCTCGTTGTAACCCGTGTTAGGTGGTATAAACCTACACATGTTATTTGTCATCATTCACTTGATGGTCAGTTAATGAATTTATAACAGGTATAATTAGTGGTAACACACTTAGATTACCCGACAAAGGTTCCCATTTGGCATTTCTTGTGTCTGGAGTAAATATTCAACATTATAAACATCGATTAAAGGATTAAGGCGAGAAAGGCGGACGTTATGCAATTAGTTGCCAGGTGTGCTATCTTGGGTGACCAATGAGACTATACACCAATACCTGAAAAGATTTATCACTTTTTCGTATATTAAACTGTTAAAAGACACATCATTTGGAACAGTTTTGTGGATATTGATGGATACATTCCTCGAACAAGGTAATGGCCTGATATTGTTCCTATAACTTTAATCTGTTTTAATTTTAATATTTGCATTTTGTTTTTATTCATTTGTCGTAGCATTCAACAGAATCATTGTTTTCGCCGTGAAGTGTAATGAGACAGACAACATGCACTAGGGTGTGTGTGCGAATTATGATTCACATTGGCAAACTATAAAATGTCTAGATATTACAGTTCTGTTATAAATTCACTATAAGTATCAGCAGATCGTCTGCTTTTATTTAGTTTCAAAATGCATACAAGTGTGATAATAAACTAATTAGGATTATAAGACCAAATATAAAGACGCACATTGACTAGTATCTACATACTGGTGAGTGGACATTAACCATGGGAATGTAGCAAAGAAATTTATCGCGCAGTATTGTGACTTCGACCCCACCTCGCTTCCTTGGAAGAAATCGTTATGTTATAAGTTGTGTCATGCAAAATCCGTTTGGTTATGATTCCAATACATATTTAACAACGAGTAGAAAGTAGTCTTGATTTTCTAACTTGATGAAAACAAACTATAATCTCATTAATTCTAACAGATTTTTTTATTTTTAAAATGGCGGCGCCCTGTCGGGAACATCCGCCAGTCTGAGGATAAATGGTATTTAGGTTTGTTTTCACCGAGTTGTGCAAAATCAAAACTACTTTCTACTGGTAGTAAAATATGTATTTTATTGATGGCCAATAGGATTTTGCATGACATAGCGTATATCATAACAATTTCTCGTGGCAGCGAGGTGGGTGTCAATATAATACTACTTACAATATTATTGTTACTTCGACCACAACCTCACTTCCGAGGAAGAAATCGTTATGTTACAAGTTGTGTCATAGAAAATCTTTATGGTCATCAATCATATGCATATTTTACTACAACTAGTAAGTAGTTTCTGATTCTTTAACTTCCGTGAAGCGATCTGAACACAAGTAAGATATCGTTTCAGGCTTCCACAACGCTCGCTTCGCACTCACAAACATAACCCATTTAGCACGAACTGCGGGGTCCGGAAATCTGTGCATGGGGACACCATCGCCCGACCCCTAGGAGCAATTGACGACAAAGCAACGATTCGGCATGTCGTCGTTGATGTCGAGAAATCATCAAAATGATGAGCGTGCTACACATTTTCTATACAACTAACTGAAAATCGTTCCTCATATGACGTCACTGCAGTGCTCTGGCGACAGAGTTACGTAACCTGTCTGTGGTTTCGTTGGCGGGCGAGAGGGAAGCAGGCGACTTTTTGGCCACTTTTAATCGCTCGGTATTAATTAACCACAAGTTTTTAAAGAATGAATTTGGTGTTCCGCATAAGACTAACCACAAATCTTTCATATGTAATGGTTAAAAGAGTAACAAAAAACAAAGTTTAGTGGTTCTTTAAAGGTTAGGTGATGTTCAGAAATAATATATTTGAAAAACATCAAACGGGTAGATTTACTTATACCGGTACCACTAAACGTATTTTCTGCGCATGATCGGAAGGGAGCTTAGGTTAGGGTTTTCAGGATTAGGATTAGACTCCTATATACAACAACTGGAAGTAGCTAAAACAATGGTACCGGTATAAGTAAAGTGCTCCCATCAAACCTCATCCTCAGCTGAACAATATACAAAACCTATAATTTTCATCCTTTTATTTTCTTCAGAAACAATCCTTTTTAAAACTTTCTGACGTGTACAAAGCAGAAACCTACACATGTTAAGATCAGCGGGAGCTACATGTAACCTTGTGCGTACAAGGGCATGCGTAACCCGAGCCTGGCTATCAGAACATCACAAGTATTATCTTTTCATTCAGATCACTAATGTGCAATTGCCTTCCCCAATCCATCTTATCTCTCTGTACAGTTGATGATCCTATTCAAAACAATGTAGGCGAATATATTTAGTCCAGATGTCAATGACAAAAACGCGTTTTGTTTTTAATGGACGGACAAAATCCCACCCTGACAAAATCCCATAGGACAAAATTTCTCGCAAAAATAACCAACATAGGACAAAATCCCATGTATATGTTATTGCTACATTGCTAAATGTGTCTCTGATGATGACAGTTTTTATCAGTGTTCCAAAATGGAAGTACTGAATAGCAATAAGGGAGGAGTTAAAATAGCACTAGATGGATTTTTGTACACAGCTGGGAATGTTCAAGGAAAATTGCATTAGAATGTCGTGGGTCCATGAAGACATCGTTGACAATGGAGAATCCGGTTCTTGTTATATCTCATGGTCATCCAGCAGATGAGTCACATGTAGAAGTCATGACATTGAGAATCCAGCGACCTATCAACCCTGGCGACATACGACAACAGCCCCTCCGACTGCGACGTGTACACCCAGTCTTCACACTTGATGTCTGGGATGTCATGAAGGGACCGTGGACAATCAGCAGCGTACCAACAGTCCTTCTGAAGTTTGGAATTCCAGTTTCAAGCATTTCATCGGCCATAATTTATTCATGAAGAAAAAGAAAAATATCTATTTCAAAATAAATTGTATGTCATTTTTCACACTGTTGGGATTTTGTCCACAGCGTTCAGACATTTTGTCCTATAGGATTTTGTCTGGTTGGGATTTTGTCAGGGTGGGTTTTGTCAGGGTGGGATTTTGTCAGGGTGGGTTTTGTCAGGGTGGGTTTTGTCAGGGTGGGATTTTGTCAGGGTGGGATTTTCAGGGTGGGTTTTGTCAGGGTGGGTTTTTGTGAGGGTGGGTTTTTGTCCTACCCTCTATTATTCAAGGTAAAGTCGTATGCAGATTGACATTATTGTTGAGTCTTTCTCCATTCATCACAGGAAGCGGGGTTGTTTTTTCTCTTATTTTCCATTGCTAGCATATCTCGGAATAACGAGTAGTATTTTTCAGTGTCTGATGAAATGCCCACCGAAGATACTGGTATACTGAAAAGCATATTTTGATTACTGACGGGAACTGCTACTTCGCATATTTAAGATTAATAATGACATGGTGTTAAAACAAGCAAATGGGTTGTTTTAGCGCACTATGTGTTATTAAAGCGGATGTTGTACTTTGTTAAGATCATTAGACGGTAACCGTATTTGACTGACAAACATTTGCAGGTATATGTGGATTTGTCGTGTGTTGGTTTGATGTGTGCAATGATGTATACATTGTTGTTCTGATGAAAAATAGTAACCATTCATTTTGATTGGTAATTGATTTTAGAAAGGTTTTTTGATCACTGAAGTTGAATTCAGCTTCATCGTGTTAAAAAAATCAAATCTCAGCATATTCTAGACGTGATCACAGTACATTACATCCATTTGACGATTATTCAAATGTATTCATACCGTATTAATATGTCAAAATGAAGATATCTACACGCGCAGTAAGATAACACTTATTAAGCCTATCTCAAACAACCCGGGGGCGGTAGGGTACCCTAATGGTTAAAGCGTTGGCTCGTCACGCCGAAGACCCGGGTTCGAATCCCCACATGGGCACAATGTGTGAAGCCCATTGCTTGTGTCTCCCGCCGTGATGTTGCTGGAATATTGCTAAAAGCGGCGTAAAACCAAAATCCGTCAGTCAGTCAGTCAAACAACCCGTGACGGTACGGGTTAGAATTGGTCTTCAGCAACTCATGCTTGTCGTAAGAGGCGACTAACGGGATCGGGTGGTGAGAAACGCTGTCTTGGTTGACACATGCCATCGTATCCCAATTGCGTAGATCGATGCTCATGATGTTGATCACTGGGTCGGCTGGTCCAGACTTGATTATTTATAGACCGCCGCAATGTAGCTGGAATATTGCTGAGTGCGGCGTTGACAACAAACCAACCAACCAATCGAAAGCATGAAAACATTCCCACAGAAGTGTTTTAAGTTCGAAACTTGGTTTTGAATGTTAGGGAATGTTGAAACAGAGCAGCGATTTTGAATGTTTTAGTTTCTCATCTTTCAAAACAAGGTCTGGGGGGAAATGGAGTAAGGTAGAAAGGTTAATATTTTTAAATCTTTTACAATTTTTAACATATTGTTCAGTTATGGTAGCGGTACAACATATTAAGCAAGCTACGTTAGACATTACCATCCACTAATAATTGTTGTTGTTTTGTTTCAGGGACCTATATCTAACATCACTGAAGTTTGGTGACGTCTTCTGCGAATAAGGATGGCGACCAAAACGGTGCTGGTCCATATCAAGCGGGCTCTTTGTAAAGAGCATGCGCGGTACTTGTGCAGATCGTTCTCAACTCGTTCTTCACATTTGCCATTGAGCAGCAGTGATATCGTCAAACTACAGCGTCGTTGTATTTCCACGACGTTGACTACAATGAACGGCAAGGAACAACACATCGTAACAAGCCCCTTTTCTCCAGTGGATATCCCGGATGTGAACTTCGCTGAGTTTGTGTTGTCAAAGTACAGCGAGTTTGGAGATCTAAAAGCTTTGGTAGGTCAGAAGAGATAGTTCTGAAATATTGATAATTCGACTAGTGACAAGGGCTTTGATTCAGACTGAAATCGATCAAACGAAGCAAACAGTTACTAAACTAAAGTCGGGGCCACAAGGCTGCTACCTACTGCCAGAACACAGTACCCGACGTCCTTGACAATGTAGTACTCCACCGTCCTTGTTGTCTCTACGATCTTATGATGACCACCACCTATGTTGTCCATACGATCCTCGATCTTATGATGACCACCACCTATGTTGTCCATACGATCCTCGATCTTATGATGACCACCAACTATGTTGTCCATACGATCCTCGATCTTATGATGACCTTCACCTATGTTGTCCATACGATCTTCGATCTTATGATGACCTCCACCTATGTTGTCCATACGATCCTCGATCTTATGATGACCTCCACCTATGGTGTCCATACGATCCTCTATCTTATGATGACCTCCACCTATGTTGTCCATACGATCCTCGATCTTATGATGGCCACCACCTATGTTGTTCATTCGATCCTCGATCTTATGATGGCCACCACATATGTTGTCAATTCGATCCTCGATCTTATGATGACCACCACCTATGTTGTCCATACGATCCTCGATCTTATGATGGCCACCACCTATGTTGTTCATTCGATCCTCGATCTTATGATGACCACCACCTATGTTGTCAATTCGATCCTCGATCTTATGATGACCACCACCTATGTTGTCGATCTTATGATGACCACCACCTATGTTGTCAATTCGATCCTCGATCTTATGATGACCACCAACTATGTTGTCAATTCGATCTTCGATCTTATGATTACCACCACCTATGTTGTCGATCTTATGATGACCACCACCTATGTTGTCAATTCGATCCTCGATCTTATGGTGACCACCACCTATGTAGTCGATCTTATGATGACTAACACCTATGTTGTCCATTCGATTCTCGATTTTATTATCTAAAATAGGTGCCCCACGCACGTTTCTTCTTGAAAGAGAGACTAAGACGTTAAGCAGGCGGTCACCATGGTTGCTGATTTACATTGTTATCCTCATAACCAGTGTGCCAAATAGTTTCCAAATTTTGCTAGTCAGTCAGGCTGGCTATGCCTGAAAGTTACTAGCCCACAAAATAATTCACTTGCCCGAAATTTGAATGTAAAAACTAAACAAAAGATTACCATAATAGATAACAATAAGATATTGTCGGCATTGCAAGGGTGTCATCATTAAGCTGCTAATGTGATAAACAGTTTATCAGGCCATAATGCTGCATGATTTAAAGTGTATTATAACTTAGCAAGTCAGAGAGAGTGATATATTTACAAAATGACGCCATGAAAATTCACTAGCCAGTCGGGCCAGTGACTGTGGAGATTTACTGGCACGCCTGGATTTTTACTAGCCACGGGCCAGTGGCTATTTCGCACACTTCTCATAACCAACCAGTGTAACATCATATTCCAGATGGACGCCACCACCGGCCGGACGCTGACGTTCCGGGAGCTGAGGGAGTCTGTGTTCCGGGTTGGAAGCGGACTGACCAGGCTGGGAGTGAGGAAAGGAGACACGGTCCTGATTTTCACCACCAACTGTATCGAGTACCTGATCACCATGGTGGCTTGCGGTGCAATCGGAGCAGTTCTCTCCACGTCCAACCCCTCATACACCACCAGTGAGTGAGTTGGTCCTAAACCACCTTCATTTTAATTAATTGTTTCACCACTTTGGTGATATGTATGGGGCTGACCTAACAAGAATAGTAATCAGGGGTATTATAAATCCTAACTTAAGCTGTTCACAATGAACATAGCGAAAAGCGAAACTACTGACTCATAAGTCTGCAGTTAAAAGTTTGCTATGGATGGACACTTTAAGATATAATACGTCGTTTGTTTCAAAAGCAAAGGACAATATAGTGTGACTATATTTAATGAACTAAAGTGGGACACAGAGCAACAAACAATAGTCAGTCAGATCATCCGAGAAAATGAGATAGATGACCAAAACTCACACGTGAAAACAAATTCATTGTGTAAAAGCCAGCTCTCAGTAACGCGTGTGTTATCCACTGGACTTGATCACAGTCTGATCTCATGATCCAAAGAAATGTCTGGGTGGTTGCCGCGGGAAGATTTTCCCTCTCTTCTGCAAGAGCATTTCCGAGTTCCAAGTGCTTGTAGAGCATGTCGTCCGGAGAGGATGATTTGCACTTCGTTCCACCAGTGATCGTGTTGAGGTTTGGTTGAGATCTGATCTGACTGGCCAATCCATTTGGACAATGGTCTGTTGTTCTAGTGGGCATCGACGACCTTGGTACGATGAACCCGTGCGTTATCGTCCATGAGGATAAGTCTGGTCAGATTGCAAGAGCATACGGTTTCACGTACACATCCGAAACGTCATGCCTGATGTTCAGCCAAATGCCTGACAGTGTAATATCGAAGCAGTGAGAGCCGATTATTACGCACTGTCTGAGTAGAAACGTTAACGGTTAACGTTCCGAAGGTCATTTCTGAGTGCGGATGCTGTCACAATGTGAGTAACTTGTCTTCCTCTGCGTGGGGGAACGCTGTCCACAACCTGCATGGGTAACTGATTTCAAAATCTGATCACACTCTGGCTGACACAAAAGGCCCCGTTGACCCAGTTTCAGGTATTCCAATGCATCTGCCAGAATCGTCAACGTGTAGCCAGTTGGTTCAATCCTGGGTAGCAAATGACGCTGTGCACTCTGATAAGATATACAACGATTCTGTCACAATACATCAAAACACAGGTTATCAAGCACCTCTTGCACATCGGGCCCATGTCGACATGCTTCTGTCCGTTCGTCAGGAGATCCTGCAGGGGACCCAACACTTATATATGCACTGGGATGTTTCAATCTGTATTTGTCGGATGATTGTATGATTCCATCAAAACGTGTTCTTTAGCATAGTTTGAGTATGTTAGTTAAATAATCCCAATATTGTGATATATGGCCACGTAGGGTCACCCTGTTCAAATCTGCACGTGACTATGAGATGATATTCTGCCCTGCCTGTCAGGTGAGCTGCGCCGCCAACTGGAACACTCGAAATCCAGCACAGTGATCGTCCTGTCCGACTTCATCTCAACTGTAGAACAAGCAGTGAAGTCCTCGGAAATACTCCAGCGTTCCGTCAAGGTAAACTGATCCTGTGTCCTCTGAATGTACGAATGCATTCATTCATTAACTCATTCATTATTTCATTCGCTCACTCATTCTGCTACGACCAGCGTGAAACGTTGCACGTTCTAATTTAATTGATTGATTCACCCACACGCTCATTTGCTCTATCATTCTGCTACGTTGTACTTGTGTACAACACACACACACACGCACGCACACTCTCTCTCACACACACACACACACACACACACACACACACACACACACACACACACACACACACACACACACACACCACACCAAGCACCAACACCACCACCACCACCACCACCACAACCACCCACATGCCCCATCCTTGCGTGTATTAAAGGCATCATGCTTCTATCTCAGAATATCATAGTGATTGGCCAGACCCACGGATATAGGTCGTTCTCAACGCTGCTGGAAGATGACGGCAAGGCGTTTCCTGACGTCGACATCTCCAGCAATGACGTCCTCCTCATCCCCTACTCCAGCGGCACCACCGGCCTGCCGAAGGGGGTTATGCTGTCCCACAGGAACATCATCGCCAACGCCCTCCAGATAAAGTATGTCTCTCAACACCTTGCTTGGCTATACAATTCCCAAAGTGATTTTAACGCTATGGTTGTTCCACAAGCATGTTTGTAACACGTGTACGACAAAGTGCATATCATTGTGAATTCTAATACTCTAATCAGATTTTAACAAAACTGCATACCATTCATCCTTGATAATCTCCTGGGAATACGTTGCGATAAATCTCCACTATACCCTGGATGTATCTACGGCTCGATATTTTCTACGATGATTTTATTACCTCCGTTGGCTGGCTTTTTATCCAATCAGGTGTCTGCGCTGGGAAGTTGAGCGTACCAATCACAACTCACTTTCTAACAGATTAAACTTGGCAACACAATTGTTGCAGTGGTACTCTGAAAGAGGTAGAAGGAGTTCTTGCATATATTTTTTCATATGTATATATAAGTTTCAGACCTGTCAATTTGTCTGTATGATTTCCTCCAAAATCTGAGTCGTACTGCGAACAAACCTTCGCGGTTGGGACCGCTATCTTTGTTGACGCTGGCAAGCTCGGTTGTAACTGTGTTGGCTACTGTGAGAATGCGGAGCCAGCAAAGGGAGGTTATAAAATTATCGGGCCGAGCCATACCTGCATCCAGGGTACTTGTGGAGATTTATCGGAACATACACCCTGGAGATTATCGAGGATGCATACCATTGGGATGAAATGTGTACTATATATTTGAATTAGACGTGCATTCAGATTCACAGGCATTTGCGTCACCACATATTTCACTAGGGCTTACAACGAACTAAGAACAACATTAATGTTCAAACAAACCTAGCTTAGACAGACTAGTTCAACAATCTCCGCTGCTTCGTTGGTAGTTTGAAGGACTTGACTCTTGGGCAGCAAGTTCGTAGCCCGCTTAGTTTTCAAAAATGTTCATAAATGTAATGCAGCTCAATGGATAACAGCAAGCTAACAGTGCATGTTCTGATTACTTTCTTAAATTAGTGAACGCCCCAAAATGTATGAAAATCGCCCTTTTATGGGTAGTTTTCCACGTTTAGAAACTAAATACGCTTATCGGAGGAAAACAGTATTTTCTTGGTACTTTGGACTGTTATTATAAAATTAATTGTTTACACTTGAATATTTATCGTTTCACTATTTGAAGAAATAGATTATTCGACGGTAATGTATTTCATTCCACATTCAAGCATCAAATAATGAGTATGACACAACAGATGGTATGTATTGTGTGATACTTTAAAGAACACGGAGATTTCTTTATGCCCGCAGTGTTGATGCTTTTGGCTCAGTCCTCTGATTTGAGTATAAGGTCTAGTAAACTGTGGCAATTCCTGGAAGTGAGTGTATTGTAAGCTGCAGTTCTTGAAAGGCATTTGTAACTTGGACGAACATGAATACCTGATGAAGGAGCAAGAATTAGCCCTGAAAAAGAATTAAAAAGAAGTTGTCCATAACAACGTGTCATGTATTCGTATTGTAAGATGTTCCCCCCTCAGTGCCTCCATGAGGATGGAAGCCGGGAGGGACAGTCTACTGGGGATTCTGCCACAGTTCCACATCTACGGCCTGGTCGTGTCCCAGATCTGTTCCACCATCCAGGGAGCCGCCTATGTCACCATGCCCAGGTTCATAGCGCAAGACTTCCTCACAGCTGTCAAAAACAACGAGGTAAGGTCAGACCTCAAGTATCAGCAGCATCTGTTAGCCGCATTTAGCAATATTCCAGCAATATCGCGGCGGGACACACCAGAATTGGGCTTCACACATTGTACCCATGTGGGGAATCGAACCCGGGTGTTCGGCATGACGAGTGAACGCTTTAACCATTAGGCTACCCCACCGCCCCATGTATGCAGTATTACTTTGTTTTAAGGCGATATGGGCATTCCAATTCTCAATATTGCAATGACTCAAAATATATATTTATGTTCATGCTACCAGTTCTTTCCTTGCTGTCTTCAGATCACCTACCTACATCTGGTACCGCCACTTGTCCTGTTCCTGGCGAAAGACCCGACAGTGACCGACTACATCTCCAGCGTGCACACCATCATCAGTGGAGCGGCACCGCTCGGCAAGGAGCTGTGTGAACAGCTGAAAGAACGAACCCCTGCCTGTGTACTTCAAGGTATTAGTATAGAGGCAGATTAGTGTCTAGGTCAGTCTACGTCAATGGACAGCGTTACATCAATGTCTCTGCCAGTCTCTCGACAGCTGCATTAACCCTGATCCCACCAAGCTTTCCTCATATCCATTACCGCCAAGTGGGCCTGTGAGGCCCGGTCACCCCCTTTTGATTTATATCAAAGGACCTGACAGGATATTACGTTCTTCTTCACTATTAGAACAGTCACTGCTGTCACTAACACTTTCTTCAAAGGGAGGTTCGAACTGATCCACTGTCAGAAGGTACTGCATCAGCACCACTACCATCATCATCTGCAGCAGCAAGTTGGAGCAAAACATCGAGAAAATTGCTTCTCAAACTTCCTTAAGTGGCATTTAGAAGCTGGTGTGATGAAGAGGAACACTTTTTATGGATAGACAACTTCTTTGTTGCAGTGGATGCGACGTTTTGGTGTAGATCCTAGCAGCGTTATCTAGCAAATGATACACAGCATCTGCACAAGGAGAAATATACATGACGGGTATTTGGGTTTGTACAATAGAAGAGGTTGATGTGTGTTGACATGAGGCTTGTTGTGATAAGGACTGATCGAAGCCAGTAGACAAAGGGTGGGTTATTCTTGATTAGTTGATCGTAAGCTGTATGGATGTAATAACGTTCATCTCTGTTGGTTGTCGGGTTGAGCCGTTTGATGTTGATTGCCTCTAAGAGTTCTCTTATCCCATGGCCTACCTCTGGGATCACATCTCTCCCCATCATCAGCGAGATCTACATGACAGAACTCGAAGACAAGGCCCTCCTCACCTCACCCGTCACACCAATATGCTGTTTCCGGAAAGTAGACGACACAGAAAGACCCCACCACCTTGCTTCAACGAGACCACAAAACCCTCCTGTAAGAACTTAGGGACAAAACGAGATAGGTCCGACTCTACACAAGCAGCTCACAGTTCCCCATCCTAGACCACCCTACGCCCGAGGTCCACAAAGACCCCATCGAAGCCCGTCTCCTAGTCTGTTCCAGAAACACAGTCCATTACAATACCACCAAGCATCTCGAACGCCTTCTCGCCCCTCTAGGTAAATTAGCTAAATCCTTTATCTCGGACTCCAACGAATTATGCAACAAGATCAGCACCATCACCCAGCCTGGCGAAATAATGAGTTGGTGATGCGGTTGATCTATTCACCAATGTCCCAAGAGACGAAGCCCTAGCCATCATTAGAAGAAATGTTGAAGACATTCGCGCTAAACCTAAACACCCATCTCACAGTAGAAAGCATCATCCGCCTCATCCATTCCTGTATAAGTTCAAAATACTTCACCCGGTCTGATAAAATCTACCAACAAACCCATGGTCTACCTATGGGATCACCTTTCTCCCCCATCATCACCAAGATCTACATGACAGAACCCGAAGACAAGACCCTCCTCAACTTACCCGTCACTCTAATATGCTGGTTCCGGAAAGAAGACGACACTTTTGTCATAATCAACCCCACCGATGATCCCATCTGCCTTCTCAAACACCTTAATGCCCAACAGCCACGCATGAAATTCGACATCCAAGTAGAAAAAGACAACAACAAACTCCAAACAACTGTCTACAGGAAACCAACGCGCACAGACCAATATCTTGACTTTTCATCTAATCACCCACTGCAAGTCAAGAGAGGTATAATCGCCACCCTAGCCAGAAGAGCAAAGAACATCAGCTCCACAACCCAAGCCCTTGAAGTCGAGTTAGAACACCTTCGCCATGTCTTCATAAACCTTAATCAGTACCCTGCTAATCTGGTCAACAGAACCATCAAGACCACCCTCAACCCAAAAGACAAACCACCACGTCAACAATCATCGCCGTTCATCACCAGTATACCATATGTCGATACAACTAGCCACCATATCCGCAGATTACTAAAGAAGCAAGCCAACATAGATGCTGTGTTCCAGAAAGAACATCAGTTCAACATATCCTACAAGCCAATAAGCAACAAAGAAGAACCTTCAGGCGTTGTCTACTACATTCAATGCGAATGTGGAGACTCGTACATATTAACCCAAATACCCTTCATGTACATATTTCTCCTTGTGCATATGTTGTGTATCATTTGCTAGATAACAGTGTTAGGATCTACACAGAAACGTAAAGAAGTTGTCTATTCATAAAAAGTGTTCCTCTTCTCAAACTTGCTCGACGATTCATCTTTGACTAGCAGTTATTATGCAATGTATTCATAAGGAAGCTTTATCAGGGGTGTTGACTGGAAGCTGAGGGGGGTGACCGGGTCTCAGTGGCCCGGCAAAGCAGTTAATGCAATAATATTTGCTTTTTAAAATTAATGGTAATTATTTCAAAATAATTAAACTGAAACCTTTTCACAGCAGTCAGTATTGTAATTTTCAGGAATACATTTAATACTGAACATTTATATAAAGAAATGAAGTTTTAGCATACCATCAAAGTGCACTTCGGGCCTCAAATGACCCACTTGGTGGGATAAGGGTTAATGCTGTTATGACGTCATATTTTATCTCATTACATGTCAGTCTACGTCAATGTATTGCGTCATGTTACATACCGTTACATGTCTGTCTGTCCATTGTATCAACCGTTATATGCGTATCTCTCTGCAAATGCACGATTTGTTCCTTCCTTTACTCGAGGTAGAAACATGTTATTCCACTGAACGTACGTTTATACAATGGCTGTTTGTGTGTAATATCTGCAGTTCACTAGTCGGGTATACAAACACTCACTCACTTCTGTTTTATTCATTCTTTTCATTTGAATGTTCATGTAGATCCGTTCATCTTGTAGAAATGTTGTCCCTGAAAATATATGGTGTAACCGGGGTCATGAGCGGGGTGAAAGCAACAGTAGTCGAAATTGTACAAGATGAACTTTAACCCTCTTAACCCAGTTCCATATCAAGCTTGTAAATTCCGTAACACCTCGCTAGCTGCCCATGTAGATCATAGACCACTGGATGATAACTGACCTCGTTGCAGTCTGTCTCACAGTCCCTGAACCGCACTATTTTCCCTACTGCCTAACCCATTCTGCAGCGCTAAAGGCCTAAACGAAGCAAGTCTAGATTTCCTCAGGGTCTCCCTTCTCGCTAGAACTCCATTTCAATTTAGAAGGAATTCTTAGTTTCTATCAAAATTATATATAACGAGAGGCTAAGCGTCAGTGTAACCTGTTTGCAGCGTACGGGCTTACTGAAACTGCTCCAGTAATCTGCATCGACCACGCGCCGGCCAAACTTGGCTCAGTCGGACCGCTTGTACCCAACACAGAGGGAAAGGTATGGCTTGGTATCCACTAACAACGTACAGTGATGTTTTATGGAGCAACAAAACTTAAATACCTGTTCCAAATGTAAATCAATAAAGGTTGCGCCATTGCATGTTGGATCTTTTTAATACACCCGGTAGTTTCTGAGCGCCATGCCATTTACACCAAATTGGCAGTATACCCGCGTTGGACGATTTGTGTTTTGTGGGGGTTTTCTTTTGTTAAAATAAAAAATTCTGAATCGAGGACGTTAAGGAATGAAGCCGAATTATTCAGAAAGCTATCATCTGATTCACTCAAGAACCCTTGCAAGAACGCCACATTGTGTTAAGATATTGTCGGATTTTGATGCAGAGGGATTTTGTATCTGAATTTAAACTCTAATAAAGAATACGTGAATGAGTGGTGTTTAGGTCAGCTTTGAACATTATTTCTGAGCAAGATACATTTACTTTGGTTGAATTCTTGTAACTTATCACTTATTGAGGTTACATTATTAACGTGTATAACGATAAAACAACATGTAAGGAAGTTATAGGCTCAGCGTCCTTGTACATTTTTCATCTCTTGTTATCAAGGTTGTGGACGTCGACAGCGGGAACGACTTGTGCCGGGGAGAGACTGGAGAAATAATTGTGCGAGGTCCTCAAGTCATGCTTGGTTACCTTGACAACCAGAAAGCCACAGATGCCACAATAAAGAACTCGTGGCTCCACACGGGTAGGAACTCCGGGGCTACAGATGTCCAGCAACCTATTTTGGCCAGAAAAAAAATTAATACAATTATTCCATTTGAGAACATTTAAGATTCGCCTTCTTAGAAATTACTGGGCCCTAAGAGCTGACACTTTGGTAGAACACGTGGCTGTATTTTGTAGCCCATATTTAATAATGGAATCTTGATTATGAATTAAGTCAGATTTCGTTTCGTTTCGTTTGGTTTATAGTGAGTGAGTGAGTTTAGTTTTACGCCGCACTCAGCAATATTCCAGCTATATGGCGGCGGTCTGTAAATAATCGAGTCTGGACCAGACAATCCAGTGATCAACGGTTTGGTTTATAAACTGCTGTATGGCAATACAGGAGACGCAACGTGAAGACAATGTCACTGGTAACCTGTCGTTATCTGGTGTAATTCATTCTTCATTGCTATGTGAGCTGTGGGCTAATCTGTCAGTGGGTCAGCTGGTCGGATATATAGAGAATACTACACGAGGTCTCATTACATACGAATTATACGAAACGAGTGTCCTTCCTATGGTATCTGACCTTTCGCTCGGTCAGATACCATAGGAAGGACACTCGTTTCGTATAATTCGTATGTAATGAGACCGAGTGTGGTATTTTATTTATTACCCACTTCTTACATGCATTAAATTGACAAAATAGCGTATTTTTGTTATTTTTTGGTTTCAAACCGAAACCGGTTTCATTAAGAGGTTGCGGAAGAGTTTTGTACTGTAGTACAATATTTGCATGACGTCACACTGTAATGACGTCACTGCCTTGGTAACCGACGTCACGATGCATGTCAGTTGTCATCGCCTCGTACAGCCTTCTACAGTAAACTACTCCGTAGCACCCCGTTTCTTGGTTTGCAGTTGCTTCGTTCGGCTAACATCACTGGTGGAAACATTACGTTTATGTTTTTCGACGGATATAATGTCTCAGTTCGACTCACAATTAAACAGCGACACGGCAACGTTCGCAATGTTTACATTCCCACAATGCATTTAAGTTGTAGAATGAATGAATTCACGTGTTTGTTAAGAATGAAAAAAATAGTTACGTCAGAATGTGACCTAATTGAGAGGTCATCGGCTATCCAATCAAATCGTTATAATCTCAGGTCAAGTCGTTACGACACAGGTCAACGCGATACGACACTTGTGTGACGTACGAGATTAGTATGCAACTACCCATACGTTGACCACGTGGGTAATAAATCGGCCTATGTTGTTCGTCCCCAGGCGATATTGGTCACTTTGACGAGGACGGGAGGCTGACAGTGACTGACCGTCTGAAGGAGCTCATCAAGTACAAAGGATTTCAGGTAACTCACTCACAGAAACAATAAATCAAGACAATAATTCATGGGAGTCAGGATTCTGCAACAGTTACATACAACGTTCTCAGTGGCCGTCTTGTTCCTGGGTAGCGCAAGCGCAACATACCATGAGACCCAGGTTGATGGAGGAAGGCTTGGTGATCTACAGGGCTGCAATTCCCGGTATAAAATTTAGTCCCTTGGTCGTGCAAGGATCCGCTGCAATTTTCCCCCACTTTCGATAATTGTTATTACTTGTTTCAACAAAGTAAAACGTCTACATCCTCCGTTACGGTTTACTTTCCCTGACATAACACCCTTAATAACACTTCCCCCTCTCATAACACCCTTAGTAACACTAGTAACACTTCCCCTCATAACACATAACACCCTTAGTAACACTTCACCTCTCCACTCTTACATAACACCCTTAGTAACACTTTCCCTCACATAACACCCTTAATAACACTTCCCCCTCTCATAACACCCTTAGTAACACTTCCCCCTCACATAACACCCTTAGTAACACTTTCCCTCACATAACACCCTTAAGTAACACTTCCCCCTCACATAACACCCTTAGTAACACTTCCCTCACATAACACCCTTAGTAACACTTCCCCTCCTTATAACACTTTAGTCACTTCCCCTCACATAACTACCTTAGTACACTAACACCCTTAGTAACACTTCCCCTCACATAACACCCTTAGTAACACTTTCCCCTCACATAACACCCTTAGTAACACTTTCCCTCACACCCTAGTAACACTTTCCCCTCTCACTTTAGTAACACTTCCCCTCACATAACACCCTCTTAGTAACACTTTCCCCTCACATAACACCCTTAGTAACACTTCCCCTCACATAACACCTTTAGTAACACTTCCCTCCTCTTACAACACTTCCCCCTCACATAACACCCTTAGTAACACTTTTCCCTCACATAACACCTTTAGTAACAACATAACACCCTTTAGTAACACTTCCCCTCTCACATAACACCCTTAGTAACACTTCCCCTCACATAACACCCTTAGTAACACTTCCCCCTCTCATAACACCCTTAGTAACACTTTCCCCTCACATAACACCCTTAGTAACACTTTCCCCTCACATAACACCCTTAGTAACACTTCCCCTCTCATAACACCCTTAGTAACACTTCCCCTCACATAACACCCTTCCCCTCACAGTAACACTTCCCCTCACATAACACCCTTAGTAACACTTCCCCTCACATAACACCCTTAGTAACACTTCCCCCTCACATAACACCCTTAGTAACACCCTTACTAACACATAACTCACTCCCTCATAACACCCTTAGTAACACTTCCCTCTCATAACACCCTTAGTAACACTTCCCCTCACATAACACCCTTAGTAACACTTTCCCCTCACATAACACCCTTAGTAACACTTCCCCCTCACATAACACCCTTAGTAACACTTTCCCCTCACATAACACCCTTAGTAACACTTCCCCTCACACCCTTAGTAACACTAACACACTTTAGTAACACTTCCCTCCTCATAACACCCTTAGTAACACTTTCCCCTCACATAACACCCTTAGTAACACTTCCCCCTCACATAACACCCTTAGTAACACTTCCCCTCACATAACACCCTTAGTAACACTTTCCCCTCACATAACACCCTTAGTAACACTTCCCCTCTCATAACACCCTTAGTAACACTTTCCCCTCACATAACACCCTTAGTAACACTTTCCCCTTAACTTTTAGTAACACTTTCACCCTCTCATAACACCCTTAGTAACACTTTCCCCTCACATAACACCCTTAGTAACACTTCCCCTCACATAACACCCTTAGTAACACTTCCCCTCATAACACCCTTAGTAACACTTTCCCTCACATAACACCCTTAGTAACACTTCCCTCTCATAACACATAACCCCTTAGTAACACTTTCCCCTCACATAACACCCTTAGTAACACTTCCCTCTCACTTCCCTCTCATAACACCCTTAGTAACACACTTCCCCTTTCATAACACCCTTAGTAACACTTCCCCCTCACATAACACCCTTAGTAACACTTCCCCCTCACATAACACCCTTAGTAACACTTTCCCCTCTCATAACACCCTTAGTAACACTTCCCTCTCATAACAAACACCCTTAGTAACACTTCCCCTCTCATAACACCCTTAGTAACTGAATTCTGTTCAAATACCCAGATCACTCACTCGTGACAAAAAGGTGTTTAGCTCTATGTTATAATGAAGTTGGAGCATACCGTGTTGGTTGCTACAACGTTCTACAGTAGCCATTTAACTCACTAAGCATGCTCCGTATGGGTTCCGGGTCACAAGATCCACCGCACCCCGTGGTGCAGGACTCAAGAGGATCGGATGGTCAGTCTGAATCGTTGCTTATGCTTTCATTCATCGGATTCCATGGGTCAGAAACTGATATTCATGGAAATGTGGTGATATTGATGGAATCATGCAGAGTACTGTTACACAACACTCACTCACTCACTTGTTGCATGCAGGTGCCTCCAGCTGAGCTGGAGTCAGTTCTCCTCGCCCATCCCGGTGTCAAGGACGCCGCAGTAATGGGAGTTCCCGATGACGAGGCAGGGGAGCTACCTAAGGCCTTCGTCGTTCTGAAGCCTGGACAGACGCTCACCCCACAAGACATCAAGGACTTTGTTAAAGGTGTGCACACGTCAAATATGTTCACTTGTGCGTTTGTGGGAAAATATTCACAATTTGTATTTTTGAGATTTTCAATGAAGTTGGTAATCTCTAACGACGACTGTATATGACGTAGATACTTGTGATCATGGTTCTAACCATGCATACTCTGACACACTCTAACCAATTCCTCTTCTTTTATAGAAAATGTGACGTCGTACAAACAACTTAGAGGCGGTGTTAAAATGGTTGACAGTATACCCAAGACCACCAGCGGTAAAATATTGAGGCGTCAGTTGAAGGATATGTGATGTACGACACTGATAAATGGGGTCACGTGGTGCAGCTGCTTGGGGCGACGATAGTGACGTCCGTAGGATGAAGACTAATCTCGTCAAAGATGATACCCTTTGGATCAAGAGCCTGTTGTTGTAAGATAACACAAAACCACCTTAGCGCTAAGGCCATCGTAACTCCATACCGTAACATTGGCTTACTACAGACTTAACGCTACTGTTGTTGTGTGGAACTGGGAACTGGGCCCCGATCCACAAAGCGTTCGTAGCGCTACGACAATCGTAAGCCTATGATAAACTATAGAGTTACGACAGGTCGTAACGTTACGAACGCTTTGTGGATCGGGCCCCTCCCTGTACAAGAACACTACAACTATATGCCCACAGAACTACCACAGGTCAGACTTACAACGGCTGCATCGCTCAGATCGTATTTCACCCAGAGTATTACCTACTAATGTTTAAAGTATTGTTATATCTATTATCAACGCACACTTTGAGTGAGTGAGTGGGTTTAGTTTAACGCCGCTTTTAGCAATATTCCAGAAATATCACGGAGGTGGGCATCAGAAATGGGCTTCACTCAATGTACCAACGTTGGCAATGTACCTATGTGGGGAATCGAACCGGTGTGACGAGCAAACGCTTTAACCACTAGGCTACCCCACGGCCCACACAGTATGAGATGTGGTTAGTAATGTGTTGTGAAATAATATTTGACACAGTTATGATGTGAGGTTGTACTGGGAAATCACGTCAATATGATTGTTACTGCTATGCTTACCGAATCTTTACATGTCCTCAGGCCAGGTATGCATTGTGGGATGTTTTGTTTATATACTCAGGATGGTCAGACAGGATTGGTTATAGAGATTATAATGGTGATTGCTGTTGAAATATGGTGAGTTATTTTAAGATAAGAAATTCGGTTAATGTCGTCTTGATTGTAAAATCTCCATCAGTGCTAATTAAAAATACATCATACACTACCGATTATTTCAAAATGTGTTTTGTTGTTTTGCTTTTGTGAACATACATAAGACTCCGTTTATAATAAAATATCTGTTTATTTTAAGATTCCTGGAAAGCCAACATGTATATAACGATATCTCGCAATAATGCGGGGAACATGTTTGATTCGTACACTGGTGCCAAGATGAACCCATGCTCAGATTCAGAGGACAAACAAGTTATCAACACTATCAAAATACGTATATATAACCGATGGTCGGTTGTACTATTAGATTTGTACACTAATGGTTCACATCGCAAATCTTGATCCAAAACGTTCAAAACTATTAAACCGTATTACCGTGGATGTATACGAGCTCTCTCCCACAGATCCATATGCTCCAATCTAAGTTCAAGCTATATTGCTATCAACAACTTAAAAGACAAAAGGAGCGAGAAGCTTACAAAAAACATGAAACATGAAATTCTCACAAGGTTTTACAGCTCTTTAAACGTGATAATACATGTATGATGTATATACAGTCCAACCAAATCGTGTTGTTTGACGCCGTACATAGCAATGTTCCAGCTAAACAGACAATCCAGTGACTGTCAACTAAAGAGACGATAACAAAATCAGAGAGCATCGGGAGAAGAGAACCACATAAAGAAAAACACGTTGACCTTGGGGGCATAGATGGCGTTGACACTTATGTGAGAAGAGGGCGAGTAATAGACTAACTGTTAGTCTCTGCAAATATGAAACTATATAATTTTAATAGAAACAAAATGCTCCATTAAAATTGAAAGGGGGTTGGTGACTTGGGAACTGGGGAATATCTAAACTTGCTTCATCTGGAGCATTCGCGCTGCAGGAGGGGCAGGGCGGAAGGTAGACTAAGGCTTAGTCTCTGAATATATATAATTTTGATAGTAACAAACAAGCCCATTTATATTGAAAAGGAGCCCTAGGGAGACCAGAGATTCAGAACCTGAACCTGAGGAAATCTAGACTTGCTCTATTTAGGGCTTTAGCACTGCAGAGAGGGCTTGGCAGTAGGGAAATTAATGTGGTTCAGGGACTGTGAAACAGACTAGGCGGAAGGGAACGTAACGTGGTCCAGGGACTGTTAGACCCAACGATCCGGTAGTGTAGGTAATGGTGGTACAACCGCGCAAAGGAAAAATGATGATAAAATAAGAAGGAAAAAAAAGAAGAGGTGCATTTGTGCATTTGAGTGTATAGAGACACTTTTTGTCTTCATTGTTCTCCTCCCCCAACAGTCGCCCCAACACCAAGACAGGTATACGGAAAACAAAATGGAGTCCAACGCAGAAAACAGAAACAACAACAGAATGTCGATTTGGGTTTGGACCACTCCCCTAGATTGTGTTGTTTCTACGCCTCCTCCAAACAGGGGCTTCCCCAAAGGAAAACCACCGTCGAAGGTACACTCCAATTAGAGATATACAGGTACATAGGCATAGGCGGATCCAGAAATTTTCAAGGGGGGAGGGGGTGCAAAACAACATAAACTTCAGTGTGGTCTTTAGCCATTTTCGGGGGGGGGGGTCCAACCCCCTGAAATCACCCCACCCACCCTCTGGATCCGCCACTGACTAAGGTATAGAACACAACAATGCCGGGAACCAAGATATCGCGCGAAGCCTATGCCGATATCCGATCGGGTCGTTTGTCCCTTCGGGAGGCGAAGAGGAAGTACCACATATCGCAAGCCAGATATACGCGAATCCGAGGCTGCTCCTAGACACAAACGGAGACAACTTCCGTTCTTCGAGACCCTGCTAGAGAAGGGTCCCCATGTTTTGCTTTCCGACAAAGAGAAACAAATCTTGGAGCGATCGGGACACACCTTCTACGAGCGATACCAGATCCCAGATCCCTCTATTTGCTGTGATGCCAGTTGGAATAATTACGTTACACTAACAGTAGCGAAGGTTCCCTCGCATAATGCTGAAGTCCCAACTAACAGACAGAAATGTGATACCATGCACCGCAAACCGAAGTACGAGCGTATTGTTCTCACTACTATTATTTCTTATCTCGATTTATTTCAGAATACATCCAAATAGTCGAGTCACGAATATATAGTATGACAAGACATTATTGAGAATTTTAGGAATATGTTTAATTGGATTTCTAGTATAAACAACCTTGACCAGCTATCAAGTGCTTGGTTTCATTCAAGAGAGACAACTCCGTTAATCCTTTTTCATTAGTTTGTGAGGAGTCATCCCCCTTTGTTTACTTGCTAGCAGACGGCATTTACAGTGATCCTCAGTATGGATGATTTAGAGAAGAGGAAGTTAATTTTAAAGGATTATAACAAGGACATCAGATCAGCTAAAGTGATTTCAAGTAGAACAGGCATCCCTTTGTCCACTGTTTATCGTGTTTTGAAAAATATTGCAAATGGATATGGCATTGAGCACCAGGGAGGCGCAGGTAGGCCCAGAAAATTGGTATTCTTGTTTCTAAAAACAAATGAAGGAGTTTAGAAAACTTAAGGCTGGATATGATTGATAGAGGAACTGTGGCTGTCTGTAAGGAGACAATTAGAACTGAGCTGCATGCGATGGGTTTGCAGAAAAGTCGAGGAATTCCCTCACCGATCATGAAACCTGAACAAAAGGAGCGAAGGTTTTTAACTGGGACAATGTGATTTTCTCGGTTCTGTGTGGCTGTTTCCTAATACACAGAAATTCTGGACCAAACAAACTGAAAAACCTTTGTATCAGCGCACAAAGTACAGTCCGAAATTTAACTTGTGGGGTGGCATATCTGTGTTAGGGGCAACGCCCCTCTGTTTATTTGAAGGGAATATGAACAGTGAGCGGTACACACATATTCTCGAGGGACATTTACCTCCATCTGCTCACGTATTCTATGGAATTTTTGGATTTTCCAGCAGGACAACGACCCAAAACATCGTTCAAAGCATTCACAGGCCTGGTTCGGACCCAAAATATGACATTATTAGATTGGCCAAGCTATAGCCCTGACCTAAATCCAATAGAAAATGTTTAGGGACTTATGAAGGAAAGTGTCAATAAGAAAAATCTGACAAATATTGCTGAAATGAAAGAAGAGGTGGTCCGATATTGGGACAGCATCGACCACGACTTTCTAACTTCTTTGATCAGTAGTATATGCCCCGCCGCATTGAAGCCTGCATTGCTGCCCATGGTGACTTGAAAAAATACTAACTGTTCACCTGTCTTTGAATCTGGAGTTATGTTTTGCTAATATTCACATTTAAAACGTGAGTAATGAGTGAAAAAAATATAAAAAATTACAATCTTTAAATTCTCAATAATTTCTGGTTGTACTGTATATTGAGGGAACACTTTGTGCAAGGGTCACTTTTCATGACTCAGCGGCCCAGACGTCTGCAGATGACAATAGAGACTGAGAGAAAACAATAGAGTACGCAAGCCTAAAGGTGATTGTGCTATTGTAAAGCAGGCTAGATTGGGTGATTACACTAGGGCAAGAATGAGTGATTATAAGGAGCATGTACTATATATAATTACATACACCTATCTTCTGTATGTATGTGTGCGTGCACGTCCGTGCGTAAGTATTGCATGGTTGCAGCGACACATTTATCTATCTATCTATCTATATATATATATATATATTTTTGTGTCCGTTTATTCATTCATACATAGTCTATCTCTATCTCTCTATCTCTCACACACACACCAAATATATGGAAATTACGTATATTCGAAATAAGGGATTCTGCTTAGCTTCTTCTTTACTAATTGTACACAACTGAGGTGACAAACCTTTCCCAACGTGTTTCCGTATGGAACAACCTTTATATCTCTGGGGCTAGCATCTCGACAACCACTAGGACGCACACATACACACACTGCATACTCGTGTAGGCTTTGCGAAATGCGAGCCCAACAAACATACTGGATGGTCGTTTCACTATGTACAGCGTGACTATTCAGTATACAGTTTGAGGCCCGCCAGAATCCTGAAGCGACCACAACACTATCTGGTTCAGAGTCGATCATTTACAGGCAGTGTGCGAAATAACCATTGGTCCGCTAGCACGTGGCTAGTAAAAATCCAGTGAAATATATTGTGGGCTTGTAACTTTCAGGCATAGCTAGCCCGACTGGATTATTATATTTTCCCCTACGTGTTGTGTTACAATAAACGTACACTCCCAAGTATGGTTTCACATTTGTTCATCAAAATGAATTGACACTGTGAAAATAACGATATATAACTTACCTGTACCACATATCAGTATACATGACGGGCGGAATAACTTCTGCGACCTCTCAAACACAACGACCACAGGCCAAAAAAGTTGCTGCCGCCTGATGGCAGTCTGGAGCAAACAAACCTGTGATCGGCATCCTCATCACTCTCCGCAGTTTGGGATAGTGAGTGAGTTTAGTTTTATGCCGCTTTTAGCAATATCACCGCGGGTGACGCCAGAAATGGGCTTCACATTTTATACCCATTTGGGGTATCGAACCCGGGTCTTCAGCGTGACGAGCGAACTCTTTAACCGCTAGGCTACCTCACCGCCCCAGTTTAACTTGGATAGGATGACGTGTTCAGCGAAATCAGCGAGCCTCACCACCCCACAAGCGTGGGTTGATCACGACAGATGTAAATTTGTGATTGCCCGTGTGTATTGTCTAAACCAACAAATTTAAGGAACATATCTACAACTGATTCATCCTAGATTCATTGTTATAAACTTCTTGATATTAAAAAAACCTGTTCACTTTTTTCCATTAACAGATTGCAGGTTTTAGCCGATAAATACTTCATTTCAAAACAAGATATCATAAAAGAATGTTTTCCAGTATCACATAATGCTTTTCATTGCCTTTGTTAAAAAGATCACTGTGGAGTTGTCGGCAAAACATAACCTGACACTCATCCTTCAGAACAATGAAAACAGACTCTTTTTTCAAAGGCGTATCTCCGTCCCAACATGTAGCGAGGAGTCTCCAGTGAGAAGAGAGATTAAACCTGAGGAAATCTAGACTTGCTTCATTTAGGGCTTTAGCATTGCAGAAAGGTCTGGGCTAAAGGGATAATAATGAGGATGAGGAACTGTGAGACAAACTGTCGCAGACCCTGAACTATTTTATTTTACGTTGCCCTCAGTCCTTACTGTTTCAAACCTCTAAATATAATTCTGTGTAGGGATCTAATGAGGTAGTGTATCACCTGATCACAGTAAAATGACCGATTTCAGTCAGAAATCCAGGATGTGACATAGTCTACGTTTCTGGCATTGATATATTTGAGAACATTATTCCGCGTTCGAATCCAGATTCTAATAATTTTTGGCTTATGTTCGTCAGTGTAGTTGACTGGCACCAGTTGGTACCACAGGCCCTCGTGTCTTTGCGAGGATTAAAGATTTTATAAAATATATACAAAAATTTGAGATGACCCCCGACTCGAAATGCTTCACAGTGTAATACATTATGACCTTGTCATGATGTATTATACTGTGAAGCATTTTGAGTCGGGGGTCATCTCAAAAACAATATTTGTTAATAATTAATCCTTTGCAAAGACACGAGGACCTGTGGTTGGTACTGGCACATTCGTTGAACATTGCCATGAAACCAATTCAGAAGTGGCTATACCTAATTGTAGGAGAAGGTGCATTTTTCACAAAAAGGTTTTCCATTTAGGACATAAATATCACCGGGTTTACTGGGTACTGATGTCGAAAATTTACTTTGAAACTTGCGACTAATCACCCACCATACCTGACATTATCATAGGCTGAAGTGTAGTCTGTCTCACAGTCCCTGAACCATATTATTTTCCCTATAGTCCAGCCCTACCTGCAGTGCTAAAACTCTAAATGAAGCAAGTCTAGATTTCCTCTGGTCTCCCTGGGGATCCTTTCCAATCTAAATGGATTTGTTTGTTACTATCAAAATTATATACATTCAGAGACTAAACGTTAGTCTAGCTGGAGTGCAGATATCCGCGAATGTCGAGAGATTTTACGGCGCTTGTGTGGAAGACAGAATCCAGTTTCGCAAACAGTTCACTCCATCGAAACTATACATTCGGCATATTGCAGCTTTAGATAGTGTGGTTTAATATTCAGTGAATCATATGACTGAACACTATTCGAAAAGAAATACATTGAAGATTAGCGTAACTCGTTAGGTTGTTAGAGAGTATTGCATGTTGTTAGAGAGTACGTTTTGTATGCGACCTTCACCTTCATGCAGGGTATAAAACAGAAAAATGTAGCCAGATATTAGTCTTCACGAAAACGCCAAGAAACATGGTGTATTTCCCAATTTCTTTTGTTTTGAGCACATTATTGTTGAATCCAGGGTAACGGTAAATGTAATCTTTATAGAAGTAACAACTTCCCTGGCGTTCTTCGTGGTTGGAATTCTCCCTACAGGTGCCTGGATTTCACGTGAATATTGTTGGGTAAGAATCGTTGCTTCGTGCGTGATTATTCCTCCTACAACTGAGTCTACTGCTGTCTTCTTGAGATTAATACGTACATGACAGTGCATACATATATAGTAACACACAGTTTTACAGCGGTACTGCTGAAATATGGTGCAATATCTGTACCTCGCCTCGTTTTAGATCGATAGGTTGCCCATATGTTTCATCATCAACGCAGGTGATAATATATACTCAAATAAAACGTGTCGGTGTCATTTAATAGTTTCACTGAGATACGTACGATGGTTTGGGGTTCAGTCACATAAGTCTAGAGTTTTTGTTCAACTGTTTAAGTATTTGTGATTACATTTATCCTCGAGAATGTTTAAATCCTACATTAGTGTTTGATATTCTGATGATGGCCACCCTGCATTGTACATGGCAGCTGTTTTTTGCTGCAATGAAAATGGAACCTTTGATTATTTGGACCAGGACAACAATGAACATGTTGAGTTGGAGGCACTTTCACCGAATAATGTATGTGATTCACTTCGCCATGATCACAGCCATTAAAGGCATATTTGTCCACTGTATGTAATTAATGTCCTTGCAATGTATTTGTGATTCCAGATTAAGTATGTTAATGTTCTTCTCAAGATATGTCAGCCTGGGAGCCTGTGCACCATGTATGCGTGAGAGGTTTAAGATGTAAAGGTGCCTAGGTATGTTGTAAAAGTGTTCTTGTGTATCAGCTTAATCAGTTTAGACATGTCCAATATGTTTTTGCAGACGATAATAGACTGCACCACAACAGATGGCCACCAGACGATCTCGGCTTCAGGTTAAGCCTAACATTGGCCCTAAGCCCAGTAGGGGGAGCACTGCAGGGGAAAGACTTCCTGTGGAGATGCAAAACCCACCAAAGGTACCAAGCCAGAGCCTTCTGCATGCAGTGATCCTAAGAAACCTGAACCTACTACATGCAGTGATCTAAAGAAACCTCTACCTACATCATGCTCAAACGATCCGGAGAAATTCGAACCCATTGAAGATTCAGGGAAATCTGAACCAGCCAATACCATTAAATCGGAACTGATTACAGCAAAACAATCTGTACAAGAGAAGACTGAATTTCCTAATGTGGTAAATGCTCATGTTGAAAGTGCTAAAGAAGACATTCATGACATATCGAAAAATTTGGGACCATCAACTGTTTTGTTGAAAGAAAAATCTCTGACAAGAATTAAGAACAAATCACCTGAAAAGATTGTTGAGAATGAGGATACGACATCAGAAAAGCATGACAAGAAACCCGAAACAAGACCTAAATTCAGAAGCAGGTTTCCCAAAGCTAGACCAAATATTGCAAACATTGGAAGGCCTGAAAACAGGTACATGAACATAAAAATAATGTAGACATATTGTTGTGCATTAGTGATATGCTTACGATTTATCGATGTTTTACATGTCCATGTTGCAAGTATTTAATAGACAAATTCAATATTGCTGACCGGCGTAAAATACTTTAAACAGTAGAAAGAGGAAATAATCTGCCAATTACCCCAGTAACTGAAAAAATCAGAAACTTGTAATTATTGTACTTATTTGGTGAAAAGAAGTCTGAGAATGGTTACTTTTCATGATGTTTTGTTTGTTCGTTTCTTTTATTTGAGCATCATATATGAACAGATACATGTGGTTGTAAGAGCACAAGTGATGACTTGTTTCAGGAAAGCCTCACATGTGCCCCCAGCTGTCATCTCCATACCACAGAAAGAAGTTGATGTAGCTGCAGAGCTAGAGCCAGTTCCAGATGCAGCCAGTACAAACAAGTGAGAATATTTTGCCCTGTTTGAGTGGCATTTAGAAGTTGGTATGATGAAGAGGAACAAGTTTTATGGATTGATGCATGTATTGCATTATAGAAGTTGTCAATCCACTTGTTCCTCTTCGAAAGCATTTTGCTTAAAGCTTGGATTGTTTAATGTTTTGCAACTGATTTAAAAAAAGTTGTGAGCTAAATAGCAGATGAACCATAGATGAATATGAGTAATTTGCATTTCATGGATTCAGATTTGTCTTCATGCCATATTCTACATCAGATAATTTTGTTAATTATCCCCTGCTCCGTGCGATTTTCTTCATATTCAACACCAAGCTTTATCTAGTAAAAGGCGCGGGGCCCAGTCGATTATGGTGACCTTCACCTAATTTTCAAGGTCATGGCGACACTCTGAAGATTTCAGCATGTTAAGCTGCATGTTAAGCTTGTCAGCGTGATATCTCAAGAACAGTTCACTGGATTTTCTTCATAGACTTTCAAGACTTCCCTTGAATGTTTTTCAATAAGCAATTTCTTTATTACTATTTTTGCATATTTCATACACTAAGACATTCATGTCAAGGTCAAAGTGAGTCTTGAAAATATTTGTGCGTTTGAACAACTACAGAGCAAGATATCAAGAGAGGTTGACTGGTCATGGTTTTGTTTACATTTAACTTCATCTTAAATTACGACCTTCACTTTCATTACTTTTTAAGTTTGATTTGATAATTGGCGCGGGGGATTATGTCACCTTAGTGACAATGCTTGTTGTTGTGATGTTTCCGTACTGTTTACATGACTAGTTCCTTGGAATTCAACTACCTGTGAAGATCCGGGTTAGAACTGGTCTTCAGCAACCTATGCTTGTCATAAGGGACGAGGACGTGGTAGCCTAGTGGTTAAAGCATTGGCTCATCACGCCGAAGACCCGGGTTCAAATCCCCACATAGGTACAATGTGTGAAGCGCAATTTCTGGTGTCCCCAGCTGTGATATTGCTGGAATATTGCTAAAAGCGACGTAAAACCAAACTCAGTCAGCATAAGAGACAACTGATGGGAACAGGTGGTCAGTTCAGGCTTGCTGACATGTTTCGTGCATGTCATCATTTCCCAGTTACCTTGATCGATGCTCATGATGTTAATCACTTGATTGTCTGGTCCAGGGTCAGTTATTTATAGTCATGTTGCCTAAAGCTTGAATATTGCTGAGTGTGGCATTAACAACAGACAAACAAATTCAACAAAATCATGAACCATGTGGCAGATAGTTGTGGTGTCTGTCAGACCTCCAGGGTATGATGTGTATTTGTGGTAATATGCAAACTAAGTCACAATAACCCAGTGATATGGTGTTGCTTGTGTGCAAATACGCATCCAGAAAATGAAATACCCAATCAGGGTTTTACCTCTTTTCACCAGATTGGGGTTCCCCCTGTCATTAGTTTTAGGGGTCTTTGCAGCCTATACGAGGGTCCTATGAAGTAGCAGTGTAGAGAATGGTACGTTTTGATAATTTCTTTAGAGCCTGGAATGAATCATTTATCATGGTAGACTGGTGGATGAAATGATGCACGTAACTGCTCTGAAAGAAACAACCAAACACTTAGCAAAGTCTTAGATGTACTGTGCAATGAATAATATTGTGCGTCTTTCAGGACGTAGTGAACTTTTGTTTCGGCTTCCGTTCTCTACATTTGTGCGTACTGGATGCACATTTGCTCGTTGCATAAAACCTGGCTGAAAAGTACAACTGCTTAGTGTGTAATTACCAGATTCAGATTACATACGTCTTACTGATGTTTTTCTGCTGACTGAAGGCAGGCATCATGTGTACATGAACTCTGGTGCAGCTGATGCACAGATGTGCAGCAGGCATGTAGCTGTTACTTAGATATGTATCACAGTTACTAATTCTATGCAACATATGGCTCACTTGGGACACACTATCACATGCTGATTAGAAGTTACGTGAACAGGAGTAGACATATTTTGCTCGTGTCTACTCATGGCTTCACAAAAATGGTTCACAAAAGCCCTATGGACTAGTGAGTGTAAAAGTATATTGAATACCAAAAGGTAACTAATCCCAAATGTGAATAACATGCCAGTAAATACTCGATGACTCATTGGCGTATAACAATCCAGGACTGTGGACGAGGCCTCACTGAGTGTGACAACCGATGTGGAGTGCACAGTACAGGCTGAACCAAGGGATGGAGACCATGAAGACCACCCTCAGGTGCCAGAGGACAAGGATGATCTGGGGGCGAGTCCTTGCAAATCCGAACCCAAGCCTCCTGAAAGGATGGAGAAGTCTATCTTTGAAAAACCTGTTGTGCCAATACTGAAACAAGATAAGAAGCCAGTTGTCAAAGTAAGTTAGAAGTAATTAATGGTAATGAAGTCGGGAAACTTCTTCGTGACAACTTTTATCATTTCCAACAATTTTTCAGGGATATTTCTCTACCGTTCATCACAGCATCAGAGCATGTTATCAGTATTTGTTTGCCATGATTCTAACATGTCTTAATGCTTGTCATGGTTGAAGGATGGCTTAGTTACCACTGATCTTTCACTGCCTCTTCAACAAACTCAATAGGTGATTCAGTGATAGTCTGCATCAGACATGCTGTTGACAGAGCAGTTCTGCAGTGTTTAGTGTTTTCTTCTTGAAACTTTGTAAACCTACAATCAAGTGACAAGATTAGCATTCATCATGAACAAATTATGTTCATATGATTTTCATTAAATTTGTATGCAGAAATGATATTCTAATAGGTTTACATTACATTGTGATTTGCTAGCCTTTTATGTTTTGTTTTCAGCATTTATGTCCAAAGAAGCGAAAACAACTACCTCCAATTAATGCTCCCCCAGATCGGGCCACCATGAAGATGATTGATCTGATCTACTGGAACCCATCAAGTAATCCGTAAGTGTAGTGAATATACGGTTGACAAGTCTATGGTCAGGTGAAATATCACCATCAAATCCCAGCCGTGTAAAGTCCTGCTCAACATGAGGTTGAACCATGGATTTGCTCCTTTATTTCTTATCACAGTGGTATAAACTCTTTGGTTCTGTCCTAAATCAAACTGATGGATAAATTCAACTGAAATAATGATGAAAGCCTTTTTTTTGGTTATTCTGTGTACCACTTTTTGCTTTTGAGAGAAAATTGTGCTTTTCATATTTATTTTTTCACCTTTTGATTTGCTTGGCATATCGGCAGTATTCATAGGCCAATGTTCTAGCGAAAATCTTGACTAAAAACAGGACAAATCTAAACTGGTGCATCCAGTCTGATTTTTAAATTACAACTTCCTCCAATCCCCAACCCCAAACACTTCCTTTAGGGTGAATGATAGCTGTACCTGTTACTTCCTGGCATCACGACCATTGAAATTACTTCATACAACATGGTTTCCTTAAGTCCACTGTACATGTGTTTCAGCATGACTAAGAAGCTAGTTCCAGGCAAGCCTAAGGAGGTGTGTGTGACTGACTTAACAGCTGCCACTGAGGAGGAGAACCGAGTGGACACTCCAGGGGATGACGGTAGTGAAGACTCACACCCTGTACCACAGGTCAAGATCGGACCAGATGGCCAAATCATCCTTAACGAGGCCAGGTGTGTTTGTCAACTGTTTCACCTTTGTAGTTTCAGTTTTCTGTAAACATGACAGCTGGTGTTCACAATGGCAGAAGACGCTTTTGAGAATTAGTGGTGTGACGAATCATCAATACCACCGCCGATACAGTGAATCGATACAAACTTTTACATTTTCGTATAAACTTAACTTTGACGAAAATCTTTAAAATGGTTTTGTTTTGATATTAAGGTGTTTTATAGTTGGTGTTAGAATTAAAGATTTTTGTATCGCGATATGCATCATATCGCGACCCTTATATCGGGATTCGTATCGTATCGCAGCTTCATTGCACAATACTTTGGCAATATATCGTCGTGACTAAAGTTTTAGTACCGTGATGTATCGTATCGCAAGTTGTATGCCAATACCATCCCTAATGAGAATCACAGTATTCACAAGTCTGAGTGTCCAGTTTGAATTCATTCATTTGCACATACGGAATATTCCTTTGACCGTGTTGGTTTGTTTTGTTTTAGTTTGGTAGTGGACAACAAGACCAGCAATGAGCCAATGGAAGCTGATGTTATTGAGGAGGATGAGAGCACTGTCAACTATAAGAGCTTCCGAGAGAAGAGGCCCAAAACATCCTGGACTGAAGTCGGTACGTCAAACTTAAACAGCAGGGAATGGCATAGCTTGTTTGTTTTTCAATGTGACCCTCTCGTGCTCACCAGTGCTTATGCTTAGTTAGCTTACTCGTGAAGATCTCGGTTAGAATTGGTCTTCAGTAACCCATGCTTATCATAAGAGTCCACTAACGGGATCACGTGGTCATGTTTCATCAAATTCTCCTGCTCTGATTGCAGAGACTGTCAAGTTCTACAAGGCTCTCAGTACAGTGGGGACTGACTTCTCTCTCATGCTACACCTTTTCCCAAGTCGAACACGCCGAGAAATCAAGGTAATCATATTGAACATGCTTGTCTCCCAGCTGCAGTAGTCTCTCCATATCTAAAGTTGCTTTGAGAATGATGAACTTCCCTGCCTCCCCCACATCATGAACATGTTTTTCATGAAAGATGCAAATTTTGTTTTCAGAACAAATTCAAGAAAGAGGAGAAGTTGCACAGACGAGAAATAGATAAGGCAATCCGTGAGTGTAATAATTGTTCTCCTTTTTTGATGACAAGAGTTTGATATTATTTTTTCCAAGTAAAAATTAGAAAGTTTGAAATATAAAGTCAACATTTGACAGGTTGTTTATGTAGCATAACTTGATCAGTTACGAAAGAAGTAGTCCTAAATAACTTAGTGGACTCCAGGTCCAGTGTGTGGGCCATTAAAAAAACAAATTTATCAGTCTTCTGACTGGCATTATAATGAGCTCCTTGCTTGTGGACAATTCAGAGAACCGGACTGCCTTCAACATGACAGACTTCGAGCGTCTTCAGGAGGAGGCGGAGGAGGAACATCGGCTAAAGCTGGAGAAGGATCTCATCAAGAAGGAGAAGGGTCAGCGGGGAAAGAAGCGGAAATCAGGCGGTGATGAAATCAAGGAGAACAAGGCAGTCAAGACGCGCAGGCGAAAGAAAAGTAACATATGTTATATTTGGGATTACACTTTCTTAGTAAAGAAAAGTAAACTGCATATTCATGCATTATTAGTAATTGGTTCTGTTGTTGACAGTTTCAGTGTTTGTCATTTATTTATATCTCATAAGTAGTGTGATATGTTGTATGTCCAACAATGATAGTTGTATGTCCATGCTTTCACTCATTTACTTTTCCCAAATTGGCCCTAAGAGTAACTGTTTCCATCTTCATGACTGAACTTTATTTTGATCCCCCTACCCTAAACCTTTTTCTCGATGATGATAACTGGATTGTCTGGTCCAGACTCGATTATTTACAGACTGCCGCCATATAGCTGGAAAATTGCTGAGTGCAGTGTTAAACAACAAACCAACCAACCAACCAACCAACCGTTTTCTTGTTTTTCTCAGGCTGTTTTAACACTACCCATTATTGTTCTTTCTTTCCTTTTTAACAAATTCTACAAATTAATATTTGTTCATGAAACCACAAATACATAACAAAAACCTTTCTACCCTATTTAGGGCTTGACTGAAATAGGAAACATTATGGATCAGAGAAGTCAAAATGTTCATCAATATTGGATCTTGGTTTTACATTCAAATCAATGTAGTTCTCATTGTGTCAAATTATATTTCAGAAAAGACTGTGTTTCACGAAGATGAAGATGATGATCTTGATGATGCCGAGAGGTAGCAATGAATTACTTACTTCCCCTATACAATAGTCATTAGTCTGGTGCTAGGTCTTGGTACTCACCTTGATGATGCCGAGAGGTAGCAATGAATTACTTACTTCCCCTATACAATAGTCATTAGTCTGGTGCTAGGTCTTGGTACTCACCTTTTGGTATCACCTTGTGGAACTTTGTTACTGTCATACTCAGTTGCTCTGGTAATGATTACTTAAGTATCTACCATATTTTCTCATGGAGAAAAAGTACTGATTTAAAACAGTTTTGTTGCTTACTTGGTTTGTGCATTGGAACAAGACTCTTTTGAGTTTTTGTTCATGTACTCTGCCATGTTTAGTCTTGTCATTCCAGACAATGGTTGTGGCCATGGAAACTGATCAGTCTATGATGTCTTTTAGGGGCATTTAGAAGTTGTATATAGATGTCCAATATGTCCATATTTTTTATGGTTTAAACTTCTTCTATTTTATTTCCCTCACATCGTTACGGGACCATTACAGATCCCTTCATCAGTTCACTTTCATCAGGTCCCGAAATCTTGTGGGGAATAAAAAAGACGTTTAATCCATAAAAATATCTTCATCAGTCCATGTTAACAATGTTCTGCTGGGTTTATCTCTAACATGGAGTCGTCTGACTGCCTGAGGTTGAACACCAAGTGCCACTGATTACTGTGATTTATGTCTCCAGGCAGACCTACAGCTTTACTTGGGTTGTTGCTGTTATTTATTTTGACAGGTGTTGCTGTGAAACGTACATCATCTTCTGTTTGTATATTTTGTTATGAAACCGTCCATTTGTCCATTGAAGGCTGTCTGTTCTGATGATTGTGACAGAATGGTGTGTCTGTGTCTGTGTGAGAGAGAAACAAGAAAGTTGAGACATGGATGTGTAGAGAGTTGATTTGTTTCTACTATACCATATTTATTGTGCAATTTCACGTTATTGTTTCCGTCATTACATGTACTTCATACCTTGACATGTTAGTCCATGAGACTGTTTGGTACTTATGTTTGATAATACACGTATTCACAATGGTAGAGTCATGTCAAGATTCCAAATTGGAACTGGTTGGCGGCAACATATGTTTGTGAACAACTAGAGATATCAAGTGATCAGACTCTCTGACCTGGACTGTGTAGTCATCATATCCCAGTTGCAAAGATCCATGACCGTGTCAGTCACTGGATTGTCTGGTCAAGGCTCAAATAGTTACTGACTGGAGACGTATAATTTGAATATTACTGAGTGTGTTGTTGAAAAAAAACATGGTTTTCTAGTGCCTGAACAAATCTGTGGAATAAAAATGCAAGGATTCTGAGTGCCTTGTGCATGGGAAGTGAATGTGTGTATAGACAGGCTGTCTGCTTGTTGCATGGGAAGTGAATGTCTGTATAGACAGGCTGTCTGCTTGTTCATGTGGACTTTGGAGATCAGTATGCCCCTAGTGGCCTGTGCTTGTCATATGACTCACATAGATGGGGTAGTCTGTGACCTGATAGCTTGTCTTGATGATGACCCGTGAAGATTCAGGTTAGGATTGGTCTTCAGCAACCCATGCTTGTCGTAAGAGGCGACTAATGGAATCAGGTGGTCAGACTCGCTGACTTGGTTGACACTGTCATCGTATCCCAGTTGCGTAGATCAATGCTCATGCTGTTGATCTCTGGATTGTCTGGGCCAGACTCGACTATTTACAGACCACCTCCATATTGCTGGAATATTGCTGAGTGTGGTGTAAAACTAGACCCACTCACTCGCTTGTCTTGATGGTATGGATGTTTATGCCTTCAGCCTCTGGTTGCCAGGTTACAGACCAGTTCTTGCTGGAACATTACTGACTCCTTAAAAAGCAAAACTACTAGCAGATAATACCAAATTATTTTCGGCTGCTGACAGACATCAAAGTAGTAGTTCTGAAATTTAGTTTAAAGACAACAGTGTAGCTGCTTCAACTGAGAATCTCTTTGCAGCCATTAAAGTGCCTTTGTGCCTGATGTACAGAGGTCTTGGTTGAACAGTTTCCATGACAACAGCATGAACATTGTCTTCTGCTTGGAATACCACATCATGTCTGCTGACCAGTCTTAAAGTATACTCACTATAGTGTGGTTTATGACAGCTGGACCAAGTAGGCATTGGAGCTGCTTAATGCAAAAGAAATCTAATATTGCCGGTACTTTAACAAATTGATACAGCCTTAAAACATGGAAAGTTATACGAGTAGTGTTTTGTGAAGTGTTTTTCAGTTGTAACTGTGTGATGCATTGAAACAATATTTTTGTACATTGTGACATCTCCAGCTTCTAGTGTTCTGCAGCCCAGATGTTGGTGGAATGAAGTGACAACACAGCACACTCCTTCCAATATTGTGGGAACTGTACTTGCTTCAGACTAATTGTAATGTTCTATATCATAGGAAATCATTGACAAATGTTCCCTAAAAAGTGATCTGTGCAAACATTTAGAATCAAACTATGAATGCACAGTATGATTGACAAAATATTGGGTTCACAAGAATACCACTGCTTATTATCTAGGTCATGTTGAAATGCCATACAGTTTGAGGATCTGTCATATTATTGGAACACATTATTGGAACACATTTATAGGACATAACTAAACATACCTCTGGAATATTGCACTTCTGTCCCGGCTACAGTTGGCTCCGTGCCAGTGAAGTTACACAAGATGCAGTTGTTAGCAGGTTTCCTTACTGGTGACGTAATGCCAGATACATGGCTGTTAGTGTGTTTCCATGCAGGTGAAGGAGTACACAGTTGTTAGAGGGTTTCCATACTGAGAAGGAGTACACACAGTTGTTAGCGGGTTTCCATACTGGAGAAGGAGTACACACAGTTGTTAGCGGGTTTCCATGCCGGAGAAGGAGTACACACAATTGTTAGCGGGTTTCCATGCCGGAGAAGTTGTTGTTAGCGGGTTTCCATGCCTGAGAAGGAGTACACACAGTTGTTAGTGGGTTTCCATGCCGAAGGAGTACACACAATTGTAAGCGGGTTTCCATGCCGAAGGAGTACACACAGTTGTGAGCGGGTTTCCATGCCGGTGAAGGAGTACACACAGTTGTTAGCGGGTTTCCATGCAGGTGAAGGAGTACACACAGTTGTTAGCGGGTTTCCATGCAGGTGAAGGAGTACACACAGTTGTTAGCGGGTTTCCATGCGGGTGAAGGAGTACACACAGTTGTTAGCGGGTTTCCATGCCGAAGGAGTACACACAGTTGTTAGCGGGTTTCCATGCAGGTGAAGGAGTACACACAGTTGTTAGCGGGTTTCCATGCGGGTGAAGGAGTACACACAGTTGTTAGCGGGTTTCCATGCCAAGAAGGAGTACACACAGTTGTTAGCGAGTATTTCCATGCCGCGGGTTTCCAGAAAGAAGGAGTACACACAGTTGTTAGCGGGTTTCCATGCTGAAGAAGGAGTACACAGTTGTTAGCGGGTTTCCATGCCGAAGAAGGAGTACACACAGTTGTTAGCGGGTTTCCATGCTGGAGAAGGAGTACACATAGTTGTTAGCGGGTTTCCATGCCTGAGAAGGAGTATACCCAGTTGTTACCAATGTTTCTAATTGCCTGCTCAGAAACGCATGGATCAGAAATAACAAATGTTACTCACAAAGATGCTGCCTCAGAGCATGCAACAAGAAGTGATTGATACCTTTTGGGTTTTTAAATTATCTGTTTTAGGTTATCAAAAATCTGGCTAAAGCAAAACTTACTGAGTGTCAATGTAAAATGCCCCAAAAGTTCTTGTTCCAGTGAACAGCCCTTTGAGCTAGTTCATGACACCAGATAACCCATGAGCTCTGGTTCAAACATACACCAACTTCAGCTTGATCATGACACAATATGAGCCATGAGCTCTTATTCGAATATATACACCAACTTCAGCCAGATCATGACACAATATGACCCACGATTTGTTATTCAAACATACACCAAATTCAGCTTGATCATGACACAATATGACCCATGAGCTCTTATTCAAACATACACCAACTTCAGCTTGATCATGACACAATATGAGCCATGAGCTCTTATTCGAATATATACACCAACTTCAGCCAGATCATGACACAATATGACCCACGATTTGTTATTCAAACATACACCAAATTCAGCTTGATCATGACACAATATGACCCATGAGCTCTTATTCAAACATACACCAACTTCAGCTTGATCATGACACAATATGAGCCATGAGCTCTTATTCGAATATATACACCAACTTCAGCCAGATCATGACACAATATGACCCACGATTTGTTATTCAAACATACACCAAATTCAGCTTGATCATGACACAATATGACCCATGAGCTCTTATTCAAACATACACTTCACTTCAGCTTGATCATGACACAATATGAGCCATGAGCTCTTATTCAATATATACACCAACTTCAGCCAGATCATGACACAATATGACCCACGATTTGTTATTCAAACATACACCAAATTCAGCTTGATCATGACACAATATGACCCATGAGCTCTTATTCAAACATACACCAACTTCAGCTTGATCATGACACAATATGAGCCATGAGCTCTTATTCAAACATACACCAACTTCAGCTTGATCATGACACAATATGAGCCATGAGCTCTTATTCGAATATATACACCAACTTCAGCCAGATCATGACACAATATGACCCACGACGATTTGTTATTCAAACATACACCAAATTCAGCTTGATCATGACACAATATGACCCATGAGCTCTTATTCAAACATACACCAACTTCAGCTTGATCATGACACAATATGAGCCATGAGCTCTTATTCAAACATACACCAACTTCAGCTTGATCATGACACAATATGAGCCATGAGCTCTTATTCGAATATATACACCAAATTCAGCCAGATCATGACACAATATGACCCACGATTTGTTATTCAAACATACACCAACTTCAGCTTGATCATGACACAATATGAGCCATGAGCTCTTATTCGAATATATACACCAACTTCAGCCAGATCATGACACAATATGACCCACGATTTGTTATTCAAACATACACCAAATTCAGCTTGATCATGACACAATATGACCCATGAGCTCTTATTCAAACATACACCAACTTCAGCTTGATCATGACACAATATGACCCATGAGCTCTTATTCAAACATACACCAACTTCAGCTTGATCATGACACAATATGAGCCATGAGCTCTTATTCGAATATATACACCAACTTCAGCCAGATCATGACACAATATGACCCACGATTTGTTATTCAAACATACACCAAATTCAGCTTGATCATGACACAATATGACCCATGAGCTCTTATTCAAACATACACCAACTTCAGCTTGATCATGACACAATATGAGCCATGAGCTCTTATTCGAATATATACACCAAATTCAGCCAGATCATGACACAATATGACCCACGATTTGTTATTCAAACATACACCAAATTCAGCTTGATCATGACACAATATGACCCATGAGCTCTTATTCAAACATACACCAACTTCAGCTTGATCATGACACAATATGAGCCATGAGCTCTTATTCGAATATATACACCAAATTCAGCCAGATCATGACACAATATGACCCATGAGCTCTTATTGAAATATACACCAAATTCAGCTAAACACAAGATAGCCTGTCAACTTTTCAAATACACACTCCCTTGAGTTACTTCATGCCACATGTCAGATCCCAAGATTGACAAGGTTGCATCGGTATAATGCACAATACAATCCACACTTCCATAATCATAAACAGTTGGATTCAAACTTCAAGCCATAGTTGACAGTCGTGTATTGGAGGAAGTCTGTGTGTTCAGAGTGTCTGATAAGTGTACTTGGATAAGCATACTGCAACAACTCTGATAACAAGACCTCAAAACAGTATATTTCATTCAGTTATTCCATTCAAATCATTTATTTTGTTTTGATGGGTATTTGTAGTAGAATTACATGATATTTTACATCAGGTTGCCATATCCTCAATGACAAAGCTGTAGATTAATTACAGCTAATACAAAATGCTAGTTAGAGAGCAGTGGGTGAGTGTAGCTTCACGCCGCACTCAGCAATATTCCAGTTATATGGCGGAAGTCTGCAAATAATCGAAGTCTGGACCAGACAATCCAATGATTAACATCATAAGCATCGTTCTACACAATTGGGATACAGTGACATGTGAACCAAGTCAGCGAGCCTGACCATCTGATTGCGATAGTCGCCTTATACGACAAGCATGGGTTACTGAAGAGCAATTCTAACCCGGATCTTCACGGGTAGTTAGAGGAAGTACAGGATGTTTTATAGCATTAACTGTGTCTATTGGTCAGTGTCTCTTGTTTGCCCTAGCCAAGATTTCTTTCATGCAAAATGATGTTTGTTTAACTGTACATGGCATATTTTCCCCAAACTTAAATGTTTGGGTGTATCGCATTCAACAGTATAACATCCACCAGTATATATAGTCGTGGACTTGCTTTGTGGTTCCAAGGGTACGAAAAGTACCATTAATGGTTATACTCTTTATAAAGTGTACAATCACTTTGAACTTCGTACTGGAGTAGATGCAGCCATGATAGATAGCTCACTGACACATGCCTCTTCATTCACACTCTCTATCCAAATGATCTTGTCTAATTTTCTGTTTAGTCAGTCAGTCAATCAAGTTTGTTCTCCAAACCACCAACAGTGGCACATGAGTAGATATGTGTAAATTTATCAACAACTGATATAATCAGTATGTTATTACTGTGTCCATCCAAATACTTCCCTATATCCGGGGGCAACTGATGAATTGAGGACAATGTTTTGTTTCTTGTTCGTCATTACCCTAAAAAAAACACGGCAGTTGACAGGTACACATTATCTTGGGGAGTTATTGAGGTTCACACTGCAGGTATGTACTTACCCAAGTGTGAGGTTCCATGTGTGCCAGTCCTCTGGTATCCATGCCTACCAGTTAGCAGCAACATGGGAAAGCTGAGCATGGAAGACCTTCAACTGAGCTTTCACATGCAGCAATGATGAATAGCATGATGATTTTTGGACAGATGTTGCTGGCATGTTAAATCAGGTAGAATATTGGCAGTGTTTAAAGATGTCTCCCTATGATTGGGGTAATCATTAAAGTTTGATAAGCAGATATGCATCACATTTGTATAAATACACAAAATTAATCCCAATAATTTTGAGGTGCGTGTATACAAGTATGTTTCAGAAATTTAAAAACCAAACTTGTGTAATTACAATGCATAGAATTTGCAGTCCCTATAATCCTCAGTGCAGTGAGTACTGCATGTACATGCACCATTTTGTCATGTACTACGTTTAGGAGTTTATGCCCCATATGACGCACTAGGGGCATCACATGGACAGATGCAAATAGGAAGTCACCTGACACCTGGTGGTTAAAGTGTTCACTCATCACACTGAAGACCAGGGTTCGATTCCCCACATGGGTACTAAGTCTGAAGCCAATTTCTGGTGTCCACACCGTGGTATTGCTGGAATATTGCTAAAAGTGGGTAAAACCATACTCTCTCTCTCTCCTCCCAAATTGAGTAATTGTGCCAATTCGGTTCACACTTACTTGAACTTGACACAAATTTCCTCCCGTACCTTTTCGGTAATTTTCAAATTATTATTCAGGTGTTTTTCTTTCCACATTTATTCCAGCCAAATATTTTGATAAGTTGACTATTTAGAGAACATCTATTTTAGCAATCATAAACCTAAGTTTAGGGAATAATGAAAGGAGTGGGACCTGGTCAGGGCCCTGTTTCACAAAGCTCTTGTAAGCCTAAGATCTCGTAAAATTCTCGTAGCATTCGTACTTTACATACTGTAACATTGACTTATGATAGTCGTAGCGCTACGAGTGCTTAGTGAAAGGGGCCCTGGACTTTAGGATGCCACTTGTATTATTGATATCAGTATCACCAAGCTTGTTAACTCAATTCTCCTTCAGTTTTAGGTCAGAAGTTGACAGTAACAAGAAGCCAGCCAGCAGTCGGGTGAAGGAGGTGGTGGAGATTCTCATGGACATGAGCAGAGGGAAGCTGTCAGCAGCCACCCAGGGTCAAGGTGAAGGTCACAATGACATCAGTGATGCTGAGAGTGAGGTGCCTAGTGAAGCACCAAGTGAAGCAGTGAGTGTTACCTCTGATGTGTTTGTGCCCAAAAGTGTAAGGACTACCTGGAATAAAGAGAAAACTACATGCAATATTGAAGAAGACAGGACAATTGATAACAAAATCCCAACAACAGATGTTGCACCCTCAGGAGATATCGGTCATCTATTTGACAGTATGTCCAACTCTGTGGTACCTATTGCTGTTAAATTTGAGGAGTCTGCTGCTGGCAAGTCTGGGGTGTCTGATGCTGTCAAGTCTAAGGTGTCTGATACTGCCATGTCCTCAGCAATACCTTCAGTGTCTTCCTCCAACTCCGGCAGTGTCCCTCACAGTACCCCGACACCTAGAGTTCCAGCAGTATCCGTCAGTTCAGATAATGTGGGTGATGTGCAACACATTGAGATCCCCGAGGCCTTACTGCAGGTCATCAACACTGCAGAGAGTGCAGACAAGATGCAGGTGGTGTTGGTGCATGATGTTGATACAGAGTCAGAGCAGACTCTTGTCCATGTGTATATATTGCCCAAGACAGCAGAAGAGATCTCAATAGATGGAAATTCAGTGCAGCTAACACCTACCAAAAACAACCCTGATCGTGCTCAATGTGCACAATCAAACAGGACTTCTCAGGGAAATGCTTTTAAACATGAACCAGTGTTTTCAGAACCATCAACCTCTACATCCAAACTGTCTATGGCTTTGACTACTGTACCTCTTACTTCTGCCACCCCCCTCCCAGTCCATAGCTTCAACCTCAAGTGCTATTCCATCATCTCCACTCACCCCCTTTAGAAGACTTTCCTCCAATACTGTCACTCTTGCACAGACTGCAGCTGTGTCAGCAGTGAAACATTCATCCCCATCATCACCGCCACTGTCCTCAACACCACACACAGCAGCAATGTCGCCTTTCGGGTCAGAAAAACAGGACATTGAAGGCATGAACACTTTGACTTCACCTTCACACAGGGTATGTTTGTTCAAGGATGATCTTGATGATGTGTCAGTAGATGTCAAACCCACAGTGAAGAAGGAATGATTTGGGAAGGGAATTCATACACAAGAAAATCATGGGAAAGAATTGTTCATCTGTCAAGTCTTGACATTCAAATACAATACTATTCTTATTTAAGATACTGATCAACGTAACTGTGAAACTAAATGAAATTTTTTACGTATGGTATTCACTTGGCAGATTATGGTTCTGTACTTCTTTTAATTAGTTTATCACTATTATGTTTTGATTTTTAAAGGAAAACATATTTATACATTTTCCAGACATCTTTAAACAAAATAAATTTTATGTCAGAATAATTTATATTTCCTTATCCTTGTCTAGCGCTGTTAACATGGTGAAACTGATGTCATGTCAAATAACAGTCTGGGTATCTTACAGTAAGTCAATCAAAACAAAACTGGCCATAGGACATTTTTTCACCAAATGTCATCAAATTGCATTGCTTGCATTTGTATTTATGTAGAAATGAAATCAAATTTGAAGACTAGGCCTTAAAAAAAATATATGTTGTGGTTCCGATTACCGACCCTTGAATTCTGGTGCCGACTCTATTTTTTTTAAGTGGAATAAATAAAAAAAGCTTTCAGATACCATTGTTTTTTCCCAGCACCAACAGATATCTGTCATTCTGATAGAGAAAGTCGATATGATGGCCGCATGCTTGATTGAATAAACAATTACTCATTGATAAATGTCTTATTAGTTTGTACTTTACTTCTAAAAAAAAAAATGTAAAAAAAATAATACAATTCCGACCTACCTACCCTAAATTTTTAAGAGATGTTTTCGGAACCACAACATTTTTTTTATTTGGCCCTATTGTAGATATTTGTCTCACTGCCATCAGGAAGATTGCCTGTAACTTAAACACTGTTGGCATTCATGTAAATTATTTTTTACAAGCAACTTTTACTGAGAAAGTGTTATCCTAAATATAATGTATGTGACAAAATATTGCCAGTAACATGTTAAGAAATGCTGATGGTTGTCGTGTGGTGATTACATGTACTAGTATTCTATTCAACATAATGCCATGATGTGTTGTATTAACAATAGGCGCCTGCCTCACTGCCTCACTGCCTCACTGCCTCACTGCCTTTTGGAAACATGAGAGGAGAAGGAATAACTGATTTATTGTGGCCTTAGTATAAATGCTGTATTAGACAATTGATTTACTGACCTTCAGAAACAGAGCTACGGTCAGTCAGACTGAAAAAATAATCTGGGAGCACCCAGTTGAATTGTTTTTGGTGGAACCTGTTTCCCAGCAAAATATTTATACCCTGAACACCAATAAACAATCTATTCCATTTCACTATTAACACACAAAATGAATTCAAAATCTGTAGAAAGTCTTCATTTTACTTTCAGCACTGCCAGCAAACTATTCATTGTGGTATTTCACGCCCTCCCCACAGAAATCAAAAGTAATGGATGCTCCCTAATGGACTCCTCCACTTTATCTCCAAGTTGAGCATTGTGGTAACCCTACACTAACCTTTGGATCCATTCTTGTGATTCTTCAATGTCAGATTACCCACCTTTGGTTTCCATCCAACATTTGTCTTGTCTATACTGCTAGGTTAACATGCTATTCACAATGTGAGTTACAAACCAGCCTCACTGTTGAGATGGTAATATGAAAGACATCTCAATGATAATGACTGGGTTTGTGAGCAATTCAATGTTGAAAAAGTGACAGACAGAAAGCTCTAAAAATCATTTTAGTGGATGGCTTTATGTCCATTGAAACTGGCAATGGCTTTGCTGTCTAAGTAACATGAGTTACCTCCTTCACCATTTACCCTTTTGTCAACATCTGATTTGTCGGGAAAATGTTCATGAAAATCAAGGGCAGGTAATTTGTGATTGCAAGAACAATGGCAATGGACCTAAGGGTTTGTGTTGGTTTACTGAGATGCCAGGCCTGTAGATGAAGCAGATGTAAGCTATGAGGTAACTTTACATGTTAGCATAACTGTGTGTTTGTGATAGGAGTCTGATTACTCTTCTTGATTTGTGTGCACCATACTCATGCTCTAGTTGCACAACAGAAACAATAAACGTTTGAGACCTTCAACAGTTTCCTCCAACACTAACATACATGTCCTGATGCAACAGGTATTGTTCAACATAGGGTCACTCCAACATCTCTCAGCATGTTCTTCTTCACCTCCGATGTGTCTCTTGCAAATCATCACTGCCCAATCACTTGCTAGTGACTTGTGAAAGCAACGTTTCAACTGGTATTGTCAGAATGGTCTGGTAACATACTATGTCCACCTGTATGGTTTAAATAAAGAAGGGATTTCTTATGTTGACACTTTAGCTGTGAGTGCATGTGTACTGGCAGTGAAACCTTGACAGTATGTACATTAACACTTCAGATTGTTATTAGTTCTAATTCCAAAATAGGCCCAAGAATACACGCTACAGATACTTGCATTGTACATGTTTCTTAGTGGTGTTACAGCCAAGTAGTACTTTCTGTGTATAACTCATTCACACGAGAACAGCCAGTGTAGCTTGTCCTAGGTTGCTGCAGATATGGCAGGAGGTAATCTGGAGTTCATGTTTCATATGTTCCTCATTGCCATAAACAGGCAGTTAGCTTGGACATTTATTATTCCCCGCCGCGCGTTAAGCGTGAAGCAGGGGATATAGTATTAGGCTCCGTCCGTCCGTCCGTCCGTCCGTCACGTACGAATTAGAATATCGTAATTTTCAAGGTCATGGCGACACTTTGAAGATGTCAGTATGTTAACCTGCATGTTAAGCTATCTTAAGAACTGTTCACTGGATTTTCTTCATATTCAACACCAAGTTTTATCTAGGAAAGGCGCAGGGCCCAGTCAATTTTGGTGATCTTCACTTAATTTTAAAGGTCACAAAGAAACTTTGAAGATTTCAGCATGTTAAATTGCATGTTAAGATAGTCAGCAAGATATCGCAAAAACATTCTCTGGACTTTCTTCATATTTGACACCAAGCTTCATCTAATGAAGGTGCAGGGCCCAGTCAATTTTGGTGTCCTTCACATAATTTCCAAGGTCACTGCGACACTTTGAAGATTTCAGCATGTTAACCTGAATTCGCTGGATTTTCTTCATAGACTTTCAAGACTTCCCTTGAATGTTTTGCAATAAGCAATTTCTTTAGTACCATTTTTGCATATTTCATACACTATGACTTTCATGTCAAGGTCAAAGGTCAGTCTTGAAAATATTTGTGTGTTTGAACAACTAAAGAGAAGATATCAAGAGAGGTTGACTGGTCATGTTTTTGTTGACATTAAACTTCATCTTAAACTTTCATTACTTTTTATCCCCCGCAACGCATTTTGCGGGGGGTAATAAAATGGACTCCGTCCGTGCACATTTGTCTTTTTCCGAGCAGAACTCTAAAACCGCTCAATATTTCTTCACCAAACTTGGCACATAGATTGGTCTGGTGGTGTACTTGTGCCTTTTGGTAGTTTTGGAATTCTGAATAAAATATTTTTGGCGTTTCCGTGGCAACAAGTTCGACTTAGACTGAAATTGGTGGTAGTACACTTTTCCGGAGCTGAACTCTAAAACCGTTCACTATTTCTTCACCAAACTTGGCACATAGATTGGCCTGGTGGTGTACTGGTGCCTTTTGGTAGTTTTGGAATTCTGAATAAAATATTTTTGGCGTTTCCGTGGCAACAAGTTTGACATAGACCGAAATTGGTGATAGTGCTTCTTTCTGGAGCAGAACTTTAAAAACCTTTCAATACTCTCTTTCCACTTTTTTATATACACACCTAAATATTTGACATATTCATAACTCGTAGACATAATCATGAGGAGTATTTTTCCATTGCGGGGGATATTGATGACTTTGTCTTCTTGTTAAGTTTGATTTGATAATTTGCGGTGGGGGATTATGTCACCTTAGCGACAATGCTTGTTGGAGTAGTTGTTTGCAGTTGTCTTCTGAAGATACTTTCTTGTAACATGTTTTCTTTGGACCTATGTGACTCATGAAATTTGCTGTTACACTGTGACTCGTGTTATGAAATGGATGTACTCTTGAGAATGCAGACATTGAAGTCTTTCAGCTCACCATCCCCAGAGTGCAGTGGTGAGTCTTTGTTGGCAGGTGCTGCCCATCATCTGTACAGTTTCCATCACGTTCTTTTTGGATTTCAGCTTCATAAAAACAAGGTTTTACACAAAAACTCCATCTGTGCAAATTTAGTCACTGATTCGGGGTAATTATTTTATTAGTAACATTTCAACTGATATTTTCCAGCATTGAAACAAAGGGTTTTTCTTTTTCCTATAAGCACTGGTGGGTTATTATGGGAAAATATAGATGTCTCTTTCATGAGAGGGAAATAATGTGGTCTTTTTGGTGTCGTGGTTGCTTTCAATTTTCTGTTATAAAAAAACCACAAAAACAACTGTTATTAGTAAATATATATTCCTAATGGCAAAAGTATACAATATTCATTTTTTAATTTTTACAATAGTAAAGGTGTTGATATGTGCCTAATGTAGACAGTTCAATACTCAACTTGTCTGGAGTATTGTTTCTGTTCTATGGTGCTTGGGTCTTCGTAACATACATGCCTGTAGTACAGTCATACACACTCTCCTGTAGAACATTCTGAACAACCTGTATGGTGTTCAGGTAACCTTGGTAACATACGTGCCTGTAGTACAGTCATACACACTCTCCTGTAGCACATTCTGAACAGCCTGTATGGTGTTCAGGTAACCTTGGTAACATACGTGCCTGTAGTACAGTCGTACACACTCTCCTGTAGCACATTCTGAACAATGTGTATGGTGTTCAGGTAACCTTGGTAACATACGTGCCTGTAGTACAGTCATACACACTCTCCTGTAGCACATTCTGAGCAACCTGTATGGTGTTCAGGTAAGCGTGGTAACATACATGCCTGTAGTACAGTTGTACACACTCTCCTGAAGCACATTCTGAACGTGTATGGTGTTCAGGTAACCTTGGTAACATACATGCCTGTAGTCCAGTCGTACACACTCTCCTGTAGCACATTCTGAACAACCTGTATTATGTTCAGGTAACCTTGGTAACATACGTGCCTATAGTCAGTCATACACACTCTCCTGTAGCACATTCTGAACAATGTGTATGGTGTTCAGGTAACCTTGGTAACATACGTGCCTGTAGTACAGTGATACACACTCTCCTGTAGCACATTCTGAACAATGTGTATGGTGTTCAGGTAACCTTGGTAACATACATGCCTGTAGTACAGTCATACACACTCTCCTGTAGCACATTC